TTCTACTGGAGTTAGATGACTATCAAGTCTGTTGTTTACTTTAGAAGATATCAATATTCACACAGCAGATTAATTTTATCTGTTTGAACAAATATTAGCTGTCTCCCACAGATAAAATATGTTCCACAGGCAGCATTTGTCAGACTTACAGATGGTCCTTTCTCCTCACTACAAGCAGACCGACCTGGCCGGTTGAAGCTTCTGAAGAACTCAAGAGGAATGAATGTGGGTTCTTGAAGCTCCAGCTTCTGTCCAGACTCCTGCCAGCTGTCTGCCAAGCTGCTGCTCAACATGAACACTTTGTGGCCTGTAGGGGCACGCTGCACTGACCATCTGGTGAAGATCACAGTGGATCACCACTAATGAAGGAACATGTAAAAGTGACCTGCAATAAACAGCAGCATCTCTGAAAGTCATTAATTGCACCCAATTCTAACATGTTATATAGATGTTTTTTGTTTTTTCCCAAAAATGTGAATAAAGGGGATACATTTAATTAAATCAGACCTGTCAATCAAGCTGACTGTTTTCAGATTAATTAATTAAAAACTACTAACACATTACCACCACAAATGCCGAACGTGACATCCTACTTGAGTCCTACTTAAAAATTTAAACCTAATAAAAATATATTAAATGTGTAATGAAACCAAATATATTATTATCAAATAAAAATCTAAATTTATTCAGTTTACAATAATATAAGACCATGAAAAGTTATATTTCATCTTATGTGAAGAGCTGGATCTAGAATGCGCTTGTTTCAAACGTGACTGGTTATGTTTCTGTAAATCAACTGAAGAATAAAGGAACAGAAATATTGAGCTTTATTGTTGCCATCTGCTGGTGGAGTTGAGGTACAAAAAGACTATATATAGTATCTTAGTTTGTAAGATTGCATAACCAGCCACTTGAGCTGCATAGTGTACCTTCAATTTTTCACAGACTGGCATCACAAGAATACATCGATCAACTATCCAGCTAAAAAAGGAAATTAATTGCTTTCTATTTATTATTACTTATTATTTATTGAAGGTAAAACCCTTGAAAGAGAAAGGCAAGTAGCTGTCTGGCAGACAACGTCAGATAAATCAAAGATTGGTACGACATGTTTTCAGGTCGTTTGTGAAACTGCATTACTCTAGAATACATCTTGTTGTGCCCCGCCTGTCTTTGTGGGAGGCTGTAAGGTGTAGACTGGAGTTTAGGGTTATTACAGCTTCCCCTTTTACTTAAAGCATATTTCAGATGGCAACATTTTTTATTGAACTAGATCTCCCAAAACAAAGATCAAAGAAAATAATAATTTCAGAATAATTATCAGATGGTGTAAAACTTAAAAATAAAATGTGTCATAAACAATGATATTAGTTACCATCTGACTTTTAAACATTTTTTTAAAAATGTAGATACTGAACTACACAGTCTTGTCACAGTTATTCCACATGTTTACCCCTCGAATAGATATACACCCCTTTTCATATTTGTCCTTACTATTGCTTTTCTTTAAATTAATGTTTCCTAAGTTCGCATAAGTTCACATCTTTTCTCCTCTACTCCACAATCTCATTAGCTAAGTTATAGCCAACAATTACAAAAAAAGAACAGGTTAACTATTAAGATCTTTAGTTTTAGCTATATTATTTTTACAGTGTAATTAGGATAGTTTGCTTTTTCACAACTTGTGTCAAGAACTGTCCATGTTTCTTAAGTTACTGCTAAAATATCTTGTAATTATTCCCTTTCACTGAGTCACTAAATATTTATTTATTTTAATGTATTTTACTTAGTTCTACTTTTAAAAACATCCTATTATAGTGCATCGTCCTTTATACATGCACTCTCTATTCCCTTTGTGATCCATGGCTTATCCACATATGATTGATTCCTCGTGAATTTTTTAATGGACATTTTTCATCACAAAGCATTATTAATAGGCTTTGTTTTGTTTTGTTTTTTCTTACATTAGCTCTGTCTAAAGGGCAGTGATGGCTTCTGGTGTTCTGCTTTGGATGATTCAATAGGTTTCATATTCTTTCTTAAAAGGTTTTGGAAAAACATTTGTAGACCAGCTATTATGTTGCTCTCTTTATACCTACAGTGGCAGTTCATTACACTACATTACGTTACAAGTTCAAATGCTTGTATTCTAACTGTATTTTACCTCAAAGTATTTCTCGTTTCTGTCTGTTTAAACCTATATTTCCCTGTTACCAATACGGATTCTGAAGTACAATTTCACTAACTCATGCACACAAGGCATTTTATAGAATGTATAATCTGTGGTAGATGTTTGACTTGAAACAACAGATTTAATCTCCACATTTCAACTTTTTTCTTAAAATAGGATTTTGAATTTTAGCACAAAATTCCAATTTTATTCACAAATAAACAAAAAAATTTTCTTAATACTCTTTTGTGCACTGGCAATGAATAACATTCTTTTAAACCTTTTTAGCATGTGAGCCCTCACCAAAAAGATTATCCGGTTAATTCAGATGTCTATGAGTGAGGACATTTCTACCAATATAAATAAATAAATAAATAAATAAATTTAACCTAAAAAAAAATTTGTGACCAAGAAAAAAAGAGAAGAAGATACATTTCGGTCCTTGGACCCACATACCTAAACCGTCTAAAGTAGTAGTTTTAAAGGAAACTACTGCAGACTCATCTCACCCTGCTACATCAGAAAAATATTAATGTGTATCGTGATATCGCAATTTATATTTGTCCAGTGGGGATGTTTTGTGATAAAGTACATACCTTCTGATGACATTACATCTTCCTCTACTGACAACTATCAACACCTAGGAAAAACCAGTAGATGGTGCTATTGTAATCCAAGAAAGTAGGGCAGTTAGGACCTGTTGACTTCATTTTAACCAGCTTGTGTGGCTTGTCAGGTTGCAGAAATAGAACAGATAAACACATATAGCAGTTGTAAAAATAGATGACTAGTGGTTGACCTAAGAGTTTGCTCTTGTTGTGTTGCTTTGATCACGTCATTCTGTATTTCCCCCGTGCTGGGCATCATTTAAAGGAAAACAAAAGAAGAACTTGAAGAGCTTCCCTCTTATTTCCTGCTGTCTTCAATGCAAAGGGCCACATACAAACAAAACTTTCCACATTTAGAGCATGGTCATTTTCCCCCTATATTTACTATAAATTTGCTCTTGGGACTAAACCAATTAAGTGGTCCTGCCCAGCAGGAACTGCACATTGGGTGTTTACACTAAAACAAAATAACTGTCCTCTCTCTTTCCACCACATGTCCCTCCCTTGCTGAATGATTGTTGTTCCACTGAGTCTGCCAGTGGCTATACAGTGCACAGTGTCATCAGCCAATCCCTTGGTGGCGTGTCTGGACTGTATCCCCTGTGAGGTTGCAGCAAGTTGCCACTGCTACAGCAAACATGCCACAAACTCTTACACATGTGTGGGATTTTGCCGTGCTAGTGAACAAGAACTAAGGCAATAATAATAATGTCTACATCACCTGCTTTCATTGCTGGAATTAAAAGTATTTTTAATCAATATGCAGTTTTGGTCGAGTCTTTTTTTTGTAACTTTGTCTCTGTACACTCCCATAGTGAATTTTAAATCAAACTATTGGGAAGTGATTGAAGCACAGACTTTCAGCTTGAATTCAAAAGATTTAGCAAAAATCAAATTTACTGCTGAAGGATGGCTTCAATTTTTTGTACATTTCCTCCCCATCCCCCATTTTCAGAGACTTAAAAGTAACTGGACAAACTAATATAATTTCAAATATACATAGAATTTTTTTTTAAAACCTTCATGAAAATTCACCCAATGAATGCCTGAAGTCTAGAACCCATAAGCATCACTCCAGCTGGTTTCTGTTGCTGCTTGTTTGTGTCTCTGCCTTTTGTTTTGTCTTCAGTAACTGAAAACCATGCTCTGGCCCCTTGAAGAACATAACATTTCTCAGGCTTGAAACACTCGAGTTTCTTTTACAGTTTGCTTTGGTCTTTATCCATTTTCAGTGCAAAGTTCCCCCCAATTAGCTTTGCATTGCAGCATTTGGCTGAATCTGAGCAGGGTGTGTAACCCTGTACACATCATCAATAAACACTGATGAACCAGTTTCATCGGCAGCCTTATATGCTCATCCTTGAAGACTGCTTCCACCATGTTTGACAGATAATGTGGTAGATATTTTTCTCGTCCACACTTCTTTTCCTACAATTCTGGTACAAATGAATCTGGTAGTTTCATCTAGCCAAAGATTTTTTTTCCAGAGCTGTGGAGGCTCTTAGAGGTTTTCTGGCAAAGTTTAAACTCTCTTTCCAGTTCTTCAGAGCAACTAGTTTAAACTGTTTTCAACAGTTTCTATTTACATTCATGAAGCCATCTCTTAATTGACTTTGACAATGACACATCTGCCTCAAGAGTATTTTTCACTTGGTTAGATATTGTGGTCTTTCTTTATAAAATATAAAATTCTGCAATCACTTTGTTGTCTGTGGTTTTTCAGGCCTTTTGAAGTTTCTGAACTGGCCTGTGCATTTCTTCTTGTAAAGATTGTACCAGATTCCTACAAATGTTTTGTGATTTATTTTGGTTTTTCAGTTTAATGATGGCCTCTTTCACTGGCATATTTTGTGCTCTAATGAACAGTATATAAATACAAGTTGAAATAATCTTCTATCAGCTTAACTTGTCAAGGAATATTGAAGTAACAGGTGAAACAGTCAACTGTCCATTCACTTAAGTAGAGGATTGTATATAAAAATGACTAATTCTTCAACAGCTAATACAAATTTCTGTATTAAAGCTGAAAGTCTATACTTCTATCACATATGAGTGATTGAAAAACCCACTGTGGAGGCAAAAAACAATTAATAAAATATGTTACGGTCCAAAATCTCACAGAACTACCTACATGTCCATATGAGTTACAAAGACGATCCATATAGTCTATTTTGGCAAAGGAATTTAACTTAATTTTTATTAAAATATCAAATAAACAACTTTCTCACCAAGTTCACAATAAAACATTTAACTGCCTGAAAGTGACATGGTAACCAAATACAAATTAGTTTCCAAAGAATTTTAAATATTTAAGACAACTGCCTAATGTCCAGCTCATCATAACCTAACAATGTAAGAAGTGATAAAGACGTGTGGGTATCGGTATGACACCTTTGTGCAGACTGCTGAAACATATCCATTGTTTTTGCTTTGAAGAATGTGCATGTATCCAACATCACATATGCCAGCTGTCTGACAGACTATAATTCATCCAAAAGGACCCCAAAAAATAAAGACAATTAAAAGAAGTCAACAACAACACAAAGACAAAAATCCCCCCACGTCTACTCCATTATCATTTAAGACAACGCAAAAAAATAAAAACATAAATCAACTACTACTGTGCAACTAAATGGACTACATCCAACTGCTTTGTGATAACAGGAGGAGGTGAAGTTGTGCAGGATCTTAATCCAGGCTTCATTTCCTCTTAAGGCAGGTAAGCTTAAAAAGTCCTTTTCATCAGAGAACAGAACATTCTGGTAGGAGAACAGGCTTCACATCACAGAGCCCAAACTGAGAGAAACATCTGTCTTGAGCTTTCTTCAATGTCCATTCATGGTTGTCTTAGGTAGGTGTGCGTGCATTTATTTACAAGTTATACCAAATCCAATGCCAGCATGAAGCCCTGGCATACATTTAAAATATATATGGTGATAACCAAGACATCACCTTGACGTATCTTATGCCATCCTCTTCATGTGTACATCCAAATGCAATCCAACACTAATCAATCCCTTCCGTAGTTGCAGATGCACTTCCCTCTCTCCTCTTTTTCTTACACAATTTACTGATTAGCATGTATGTATGTAATTTATGTCTTGTATGACTGGATATGTATCTGTCGAGCTACATTAGCATCTTTATGGAGAATTTGGGAATACTGAATGTTTGAGCTAATTCATATAAGTCGATGAGGCAGAGGAGGTGGGTGAGCGGAAGCCGAGGAGGAAGGGTAGTGCTGTCTGAGCCTCTAAAAAACAGGCACTCTGGTGAGAGTACAGGCATTAATATCCTCAGTGTGAGTGGCTCTGTGCAGGGACGGTTCTGAGGCACTGCGGTTTATCTTAGGGAGGGCATGCTGGAGAAGCTCAATGGAGGACAAGATCTAAATTTTAAAAAAAAGAGAGATTTAAACAGGGTTAAACAAAACGCTAACAATTGAGCTTGATGATCTACAACTGCCATGAGAGTAGCTCACCTGTGGAAAGAGTGGCCTCTCATCCTTGGACTTCTTGGTGCAGTCAGCCACCAACCTTTTCATGGCTTTGGGGCAGTTTTTATAGAGCTTGCTGAGGTCTGGAGATAGATAGCCTCTTCCCACCATGAAGATAATCTAACGGGAAAGTCAGAAATAGCAGACCGAGTAGAACAGCAATCACATTTTAAAGTATTTTAGAACTGAAAATTTGATTAAAGCCAGTACATCTGTAGTGGACGACTGATCAGTGCTTGATCAGTCCATCTTGCAGATAAAGATATGGCATGAGTGCGCGATGCTGCAGAGATAAAGGATGACACGTACTCTATGTGCCTGCCAGATCAGCACAGTTCAAAGTCATGCTACAGTATCAAGGAGAACAGAAAAGAATAGTGGATCACAAGATTTACGGGTGCACTGTGCAAAGGCTTTAATTGAATCTGAATACAAACACAGTGAAGTAAATTCAGTAAGACGCCACATATGACCCAGGGCAGGACTCATGGTCTACGAGAGGACAAAAACACCTAAAGATGCACATATGCACACCCATGCTCCCCTTTTCTCACACACATACAGGGTTGTGTTACGGGGTCTAAAATTAGGCCAGTGGCTCCATGGCGCTCGCCTCTGTTCCACAGTGGGCCTTGGGCCAGCTCCACAACCCCCTTCAGACAGTGACACAGTGTCTTTCCACCACCTTCTAGCCTAGGTTTGCAGAGAGCTACAGCTTAGACATGTGTCTGATTGCAGGCATACAGCACTGGAACCCTTAAGTTAACACTATGTCTAACAAAATCAATGTTCTAGCCAAGTGACTTTTATTTGCATGACAAAAGAGACTTAAGTTCTTTAATGTCATCAAAGATGCAGTGATATACTCTTAAACCATTAGTGTAATACATTTAAACATCTTTACCTGATCTCTATTTCCTATCTGGGAGTATGGGAGCTCTCCCGTCATGAGCTCAAAGAGAACAATTCCATAGGAATAGACATCAGACTGGAAGCTGTAAGGATTATTATCCTCCATCCGGATAACCTCAGGAGCCTGTAAACATAGAAAAAGAAACCAAGTCAGGTTTTTTTAAATAGATGAATAGTTGGTTTAATGCTACTATCTAATCACAACTCATCAAGTCCCTTAACATAGCCCACTTGTTGCTACAGCGGAATTAAGTTCTTAGGGATGAACTTTCAAACTTTAACATAGTTAAAATAATCTTATTCCTCAATGACTGACAGTCCCAGCTTGTTCCAATGCTTTATATAATCTATGATCATTTTTTTTAAAAAGATGATAATTGCATCATTAGATGATAATTAAAAAATGTAACTTTGGATCAGCACCATATGGTGTTACTAACCATCCAAAGAATGGATCCAGAAGGCTGCTCGACCTGATGTGAGCCACTCCACCTTGCTTTCACCGTAGCAAGACCAAAGTCACCAATTTTTACTGTTAGCCCTTCATGCAAGAAAATGTCTGCACAACAGTCAAGGAATTACACTGAGGAAAAACACATCCTGTACACCAGGTGGATACGTTTTTGTTTTTTTGGGGTTTTTTTCCCCATTAACAGACACTGAAAAACCAATAGAAAGGATACTGTTTGATTTCATGTCTCGGTGAATGATGTTCTTTGCATGAAGATAGCTGAAAATGAAGAAAAAAATAATTATATCCCAGTTATTGTCGATTTGATTTTAAGAAAGAAGTGAGATTCTGTACAACTTACTCCATGCCCTGAGCAGTCTGCCTGGCAATATCTATGAGCTGGATCATCTTGAAATTTGTCTCCAGGACATGTATGTGCTTGTAGAGGCTGCTACCCTCACACCACTGTGTCACAATGGCCAGGTTGTCCTTAGTCATATAACCCATGAACAACAGGATGTTGACATGTCGTGTTTTCCTGTGACCAGATGCAGAAAGGAAGAGGAAATCACCATATCAAAGATCAGAAAAACATTTGAAATGTAGATGACTCAATAAGAAGTCAAAAATATAAAATATTAAAAACACCTGAAAATCTTAATGCTGGTAAGAAAAACATTTTTATGCACTCTCACCTGAGGACTGCCACTTCATTTCTGAATGCCTGGAACTGCTCTGGTGTAGGGTCTGTCACCTTTAAAATCTTTACTGCTACATCACCTACAGCAAAAATAATAATGAAATCCACAAACCCATATGACCAGCAATTCTGCATTCACTCTGCTTATTGTTTATTTTTTCTGTCAGGAAACTCTGGGAAGTGATACACGTGATGGTGCGTAGCATCTGCAGCTCATTCCTACCATGCCATTTTCCTTTGAATACAGTTCCGAAGGAGCCGGAACCAATGTGGGAGTGCAGATAAACCTCACTGGCCTCAATCTCCCAGTAGTAACTGGAGTCACGCTTATCCCGAGGCCTCTGAGTAAACAGGAATCAAAAAGATGCAACTGATGTCATACAAAGCAGAAATACACCTTAATCATAAGGTTTCATTCTGAAGGGGAAATCAAGAGTGCACCAAACTGTCTGATATCATTAAATATACAAGACAAAAAAAAAAACAAAGCTTACTATTTTAATTTTGTCCTGAGTGTTGAGGGATGGGGCCCTCTCTCGCTGGGCAGGTGCAGGAGTTTTGGATTGGGATTGGGTCCAGCCTGTAGGACTCTGGTTGGGTGAACTCCCCGCTTCAGGAATACAAAGCAAAAGAGTATATAGGAATTAAGCATAGAAGACTTAGTGAATGATATGGATCCAGGTTATGTGTTATATAGGCATCTCATCAAGTTCACTCTTTTATAGGGATGGGAATCGAAAACCAGTTCTTGTTGAGAACCGGTTCCCACTGTTTCAATTAATTGGAATCGTTTGCCATTTTTGCAAACGATTCCCTTATCGATTCCAGTCGCCTCGAATGACGTCACCACGTTGCGTAGCGTCATTTAGCTGACAGGAAACATGGCACCTAAGCGGCACAAACGCTCAAAAGTTTGGTTATACGGATGACAACAGGGCAACTTGCAATACTTGCAAAGTAGATATTTCATTAAAGGGAGGAAACACTACGAATATGCAAAAGCATTTGCTCACAAAACACAGGATAACTTTAAATGAATCTCGTGTTTTTAATTCCGCTCCAGACTCGTGAATCTCAACCCAGCAGCGGCGGTAATGTTTGCACGTCCTCTCCCGTTAACATGGCAGGTAAATAATCAACTAACAGTGCATATTATGTTAGCGCGATCGGCCTTATTACAAAACCTGCCTTTACTGTGCATTTAGATGACCACGATGAGAGTGACAGAGTCTGGCTGGCTCAGATGCTGGCAGTTGTCGCTGCAGTCTACCGGTAGCGTCTCCTTTCAGGCCAGGATAGACGAATGTCAGCGAGCAGTGACTAAGTTTGTGGTCAAAGCCTTGCACCCATTTGCCACAGCAGATGCCCCGATTTTCAGTAAGTGAATGTGTTTAATTGTAGGCAGGGACATTACTGGATATTCTTGTGTAATTGTTACAGAATAATTTATGTTATACTTTGTTATTGCTACAGAAGAATATTTATTTTATTAATATTTTACATTCACATTTTTTTCCCCCTGTGGACCCGTGACACCCCATCAAAGGCTGTGGATCTCTTAATATCTCACTGTTGGGTTTGTAAGGCCATGCTACTCCTAAATTTCTATCTTGTTCAAAGAGAAGACATAAAACAAAGTTCTAAGTTAATCGACCTGTGTGTTCTCCTTTTTAAAAAAAATAAGAATCGATAGGAGAATCGATATAAAGAATCAAATTGTTAAACAGAATCAAAAATGGAATCGTAATTGTGAAAATCTTATCAATTCCCATCCCTACTCTTTTCACCCATGATGGTAGTTAATGCTCAGTGAGCATATCAACAAAACACTAGAGGGAGCAGGAGATCGCGAGATATTCAGTTAGTCAAAATAATTTGTGAACTTTTTGTTTTGCACAACAAAATAGGAAACTGAAGTGAGGAAGAAGACACAAAAGTACATGACATGAAGCTAATGAAATGCAGACTTACCCGAGTCATGATCACGCATTGCATCCTAAAGAGACAAAGAAAAAAAGAAAACCACAAGCAAAGTTTTGTTAGCTTGTGCAAACACCAGGCCTTGTGCTGTGCTGTCACTCATGGTTTGACAGTACATCTAAGAGATGTGAATGCAGATAGCCTGCTTGCAAGGCATGCCATTGAGACTGCACACAGACACTCTGCTTTCTAACCTTTTCTGGACTCTCAGGTGAGGCCTCAACAAAAGACTGGGAGAAGTGCACAATACCTACTTTCCTCTTCAGCCAGAATCTATGGCACCAGGAGCTGGGGGAGGTATTCAGGCAGTCTAGCTACTCCCCAGAAGGGTACAATACAACAGGCCAGTGAAGAGACAGGAGGCAAAGGGACAGAGCAAAGGAAAGTGAGGAAAGAACAAAGACAAAATGGATTTCCAGGTTTTACCTGGACAGAAACTGGGGAAAAGATCTACAAAGCATTCAAAATGATTGAGCCGATTATGCAAGAACAGCAGCTGCAATAAAGCAGAAGCTAGAACGAACCAGGGGGAAGTCAATTGTCACAGATAATAAAATTTGTTAAAACAGGATGCTATCGGGCTGAAAAACAGACCAAGCCATTCTGAGTGGCTTAGCTAACACTCAGGTAGATAAGTAGGAAAAAGAAAAGCAACTCAAAGATCATTGGAATGGAGGCCAAGAACACTTGCAAGCACAAGATATTTTAGGAGTGACAGCCTGAACCTACAGGAGCACCCAAGGGGCCCATTTGGTGTGTAGTTACCTCGATCACGCTGCTGTCTACAGGCAGAGTAGTGCTAACCATGTGGACATTTGGTGTAGAAGTGGAGCGCTGCCTCTGGGAGAGACCGCCACCAGTGGGTGGTGCGTAGTTGAAGGCATGAGGGGTGGAATAACGGTAGGCTGAGCTGTGAGGGAGAACAAAATTTTATATATTAAGAATCAGGTGGTTTTAAATGTCAGTGCTTCAGATGGCACAAACCACTGACATTTAAAAGAAACACAAACTGAATTCTGTAACTTCTTTAAAATTTGGGCCAAGCTTGGGTGTGGTTATAGTTAGTCTAGAGCCTTTCTGGTTTCATTTCTGTCATTTTTCTTCCATTCCCTTTCCCAACTCACAGTTTTTACCAACAACAGATGCCCAACAAACAAAGTCATATACAATATACCATACTGTAACTACAACAACAAAACAAAGGGAAATTAAAAAGAAAGAAAGAAAAAAAAACATTACAGGGAAGTAGTTGTTAGCCAATTGCATTGTAGCCATCTTCTCATGCCATTTTTGGCAAACTTGAAATTCAGAGGTATTTTGTCCTTGATATTTGCCAAGATCAGCGTTGGCTCAGCTGAAGAGAACAAAGCTCACTAACATCTAAAAAACATAACTCACTTAAGATGTTCACTTACAGGAAAAACAAATCATTTGAACCCAAGTTCAAATATCCACAAATTTATGATCACAATTTTGCATGAATGAAAGCTTCCTTTTTTTTAATTTATTCAAGCCTCTTGGTACACCCCACTGTTACCGAACCAGTTGTAATGTATTGTAGCTGCTGGTTAAAATTGGGACAGCAGGACCCCAGCTCAATGACGTATATAAACAGAGATCATATTATATCACACCCACAAACATGGAGAGCACTCTTTGAGCACAATCCCCTTTTTGGCAATATCCCACTATGTTTCAAAAGAGCACTGGGGAGTGCTCTACATGGAACAACTTGATACTTTGTAAGTGCTAATTTGGCAGCTCAGAGCACTTTTTAGCCATTTTAAGAGCTACTGAAACAACAGATTCTTTTCACACCGGGCTCCTTCAGCCCTTGGACTGGTTAAGCCCTCATAAAGCCAAGGACGTCATTCAAAAACAAGATTTAATGTAATTAAGATTACGGTTCAGGTAGAAATAAGAACATCACACCAACTGTGATTTTACAGTATAGCCATCCAACAGCATCACTCTCCCAAACACGCATGCATACAATATTAACATCTTAATAATTATTGAAGTACTTTCTTTCTATATTTCTCATCTAGTTGCAAGTAGCAGCCTGCACTATTAGCTCTCCCTACAACATCAAACAATGCCTGATAGGGAAAAAACCCCCAAAACAAACGCTGGACAAAAGCAAACAAAAAAACAAAACAAAACAAAAAAAACCCTTCAAACAGCACATATGTATTCATGATCAGAGCCTTTACACCTTATGAACTTAAAGGTTCCCTGTGGTTTCTGCTTTCTTCTGCTAGTTCCATGAAGCTGTTTACATAATTGAAACCCCATATTGTTTATCTCTCTCACACACACACACGCACGCACTTTGATACAAATGCATGCTAGTGACATGATACACATGCTGCTAATAGACTGAAACTATCCAAGTGATCTGCAGGTGGTAACATGCAGGTATCAGCCAAAATCAACACAGGGTTTCGACTGCTGTTTTGTTTTTTAATGTTTCGTTCTGTCATTGTCGTGTCATTGTTTTTAAGGGTGTAAAATATATTAAAACATTTCAGAGAAGCCTTTTAAAAATGAAGTTGTTTTAGGCTTTTTCAGAAAAGGGTAGATACAATAACAATTTGAGTTTTATTTGAAAATAACGCTAAGAGTGCAAATTATACCGAGACTCACCTTGGAAGCCGCGTTAAAGACTCTCTCATACGCCGGGACGAAGGCGGTGGCACAGACGGGGCATTGCACTCGCCGGGCGTTTGACACAATCTGACAGAAACAAAGTGTTCGTGCAAACACACCAGTGTTTAATCAAGTAAAAGCTGACGGCTACACAGGACAGTGGTTGTAAGGGGAAATAGCTCATCTATTCAGTGTCATTGATAAAGATCTCAAAAAGATTACCCACAGCCTGCATGCAAAATGCAAGTAACTGAGCACAAACATGCAAAACTGTGTATATGAGCTTAGGCCTACATGTAAAAACTGTAGCATCAATAAAACCT